CCTTCCTTCCTTCCTTCCTTCCTTCCTTCCTTCCTTCCTTCCTTCCTCCCTCCCTCCCTCCCTCCCTTCCACCGACCCACCCATCCCAAGTTTGTACATCATGGGTGCCAAACTCATGGCGTCACGTTGCCATTATGTGACACATTGCAATGTTTTTCATGGAGCTGAGGTGAGAGTGGCCTGCATATGACACATCCAGCCTGCGGGCCGCCAGTTTGACACCCCTGGGGTACATGATTACTTCCTGCCTTTGCAATAAACAATGCCTAGAAAAAAGCAAGGCAGTGCAATCTGGTGTGAGAACTTACTGGGTAGGGGCAAAAATTCCACAGCCGATGCACTAGTGATCTTGTTGGTATCCAGTTCCACTCTATGGTACTCATATATGGTCCGATGATGAGATTCTAAAATAATTAGGGAGGAATATTACATTAAATCAAGATTCTACATTGTCTCTTAAAGGATGTGGCCATATCACACATTTCCACAAAGTTTTGCATAATTAAATATTACGATGAAACTAATGGAAGAAAATATATGTAGCTCATATCAAACAAACAACCAAGATCAGTGAACACCAAGGATTCTATAAGATGTATTGAGCTACCTGCTAGTTCTCAGAAGGATCCACATTCGCACAATAGTCAATGCTTGAATAAAAAACAGGAATTTTGTTACCTTTTAAATTTTTTAGACTGTATCTATAAGCCTTTATCCCTACCCTACAAGTAGTCCTCGGTTTACAACAGTTCATTTAGTGACCATTTGAGTTACAATGGCACTGAAAAATGTGCCTAGCGCCCGTTTTTCACACATGACTATTGCAGTATCCCCATGGTCACATGATCAAAATTCATATGCGTGGTAACCGACTCATATTTATAATGGTTGTAGTATTCGTGTGATCACCTTTTGCAACTTTCTGACAAGTGAAGTCAATGGAAAGCTAGATTCACTTCACAACTGTGTTACCAACTTGACAACTGCAGTGATTCACTTAACAACTGTGGCAAGAAAGGCCATAAAGCGGGGCAAAACTCACTAAACAACCTTTTCAGTTAGCAGCATACATTTTAGGCTCAATTGTCAAGTCAAGGACTACCTGTACAGGATTTGGTGGAAGTAAAAATATCTAGACAGCTTTACATTTCCTAAAACCTAAACTATCTCATAGACTGGCTTCTGAAGACAGACTCAATATTTGTTGGTTATTAATAATAACGGCAGCAGAACTATTTCACTGTGGAATTATCTCATTTGGAAAGTTCCTCTGGCTTTCTCTGCGGCTCTGTATTTGGATATAATTATAAACAAGAATTGCTGAGAACCGTACTCTTTGTCCATTGTGTGCTACCCAATTGTCCCTGCCAGCTGAGGCAGCTAAATCAACTAGAAATCAACAAGGAAGCAAGCAACTTTCCCCATCATCCATCCCCAGAATTTAACATGTTAATGTCTTAACAAGTTAGGAACCCAGAAACAATTCCTGCTCATGAACAATAAGCTAGAATTTTCAGCAATTCTGGTTTATTGGTAGCCACTGAATATTTCTTTTTAATGGGCTGTTCTTTAAATTACTGATAGCTTTTAACTAAAACTGTTAATTGAATGATCTTGTAACTAATGGATGTCATTTTGTTGTAATCAAAGGTTTTGTTTTTCTTCATCATCATGCTGTAGCTTGAAAATCAATATACAGTGCCTTAAGCAGGCTTTCTGCCCAGAGTGAGATGCAAGTGGCTGAATGAGCTTACATGGTGGAAATTGCAATAGTGAGTAATGGTTCAATAATGAAATAATAATAAGGATGGGTGGCTCTGAGATACTTCAAGCAGAAGAAGGAAGCCTTTCCTGGATGGAAGAAGTGATTTCCTTCTTCAGCTTAATCTTCTCCAGATACATTGAACTCATTTATTTGAATGATATCAATATGGGGAAAATTGGACTTCATCTCAAAACTCAATTTAATTAATTTAATTTAATAGGACTTCAGCCTACTAAATTAATGTGACATAAGGTGTAAACAGTGGTTTACAAAATGTAGTGGCTATACTTGCATAACATTCAAAGTCAAAGGCAAGTAAATCATATATAAAATATCAAACTCTAAATCATGGTTATGATGGTTAGGTTCACATAATATGCTAAGAGGAACAAACAAACCATTCTATAGTGTAATGTGATGGTCTGGATCACTTGACATGCTTAGTTCATTTGGTTTGCAAATCACGGAATTATTGTTGTTTGAACATAGCCCATGATTAATTCATATCTTATGAAACCAACTGATACTTTATCAGAATTTTTCTATGAAAGCAAAATTTCTGAAAAAGAAATCTATTCTATCAGGTAGAAATAATAACAGTATTTTTTTTTGTTACGAAGGCATTTTTAGTCAAGGAAATGGTTAAGTATGTAATTTCTTTGTCTGCTATCTCATTCTGCTTTGTAGGTCAGACAACAGTCCCAAATGTTCATATTTTTAACAAGAATTTTGCATCTTAGAAGATAAGAGCCTGTTTAGTCAGGAACAAATGATTATATGCACTATACTTCTGTTTTCTATCACCCCATTCCTTTCCCCCTCCTGTCACAGTCTGCCAAACTCACCAGGAGAAGAGTTAAGGATCATAAAAGCATCTGAAAGACCAGCTTTGACAGGATGTTGTGTAGAACTAATTTCAAGCACTGACATGGGAATCTGAAGTCAGAAAAAAGGAAAAGGCATAGACATTTCAGTCAAAGTCCAGAAAACCAGTCTATTTCTGCCAATCTTTGATGTCTCATTATTCTAGATGGCCAGGACCTTGATGAACATTTGAGAAACTCATCTTTTCTACACTAGACTGTGTACACTCACCTCCTTGTAACCAAAGACAATTCTGCCACTGTTGTACAAAGCTGCCTGGAAGATGAAACAGCCTTTGTCTTCTTTCCCTTCTAGATAAACTTGATCCCACTGGACAACAAACATGGTTCCTTTGGAAGTAGAAGGGCAAAAGAAATGAAGCACCAAAATGGGAACTAAGAACTTGAACAGTTTACTATGATTCATAAAATCCAGGAAGGACCAATCTATGTAGTGGAAGAGCCTTTTCCAAACCCACTCCTTATCCTTCCACTTGATCATAAACAGAAAATACTGGAAATATTTTTCACTAAAAAAGGAAATAGTTTTCTCATGTTGAAATGTGCTTCCAAGCATGTACAAAATGTTTTTAATCATGAGTAACCAACAGGCCATTAAGTAATCACTGAAAAAATACCACCGGAAAAAGAATCCTCATTGATTTGAACAATCTGCTTTTGCAGGCCCTCTTAATCAACCAAATATAAAGTACTGGAGGTGGGAAGAAAACTGCACTGAAAATACTTTATGAAAACATCAGTGCAGACTAAGTGGTAACCCTGGTAACAATCGTTCCAGGCACTCAACCATATCACAGGCACATACACTCAAATTCCAAGCACTAACAAATATAACTGACCTGCACTTATCACCCCCCCCTACTAAATACCTACTGATTATCCATTTCTAATTCTATATTTTGCCTCTTTCTAAAAAACCTCAGAGGTATAAAACAATGCTACAACTGCACAGATTATCATAAAAAGGTTTTATGAGTTAGTCATTGTCAGCCAAGAACAAAACTGCTAATTAGCCTGATTCCAGCTATCCTCCATTATCACTTCCCAATAAATAAATCCTAACCATGAAAAATGAAATAAAATAAAAACATCCAAAGATATATAGAAGGGGTGTGTGAGAGAGAGATTTTCTGGAGTTTCAATTTTATTTTGCAAAATAAATATCCAGTCCAGGATAAGTAGCAGCGGGCAAGTTTACAGGGATGTGGGATAGAAGTGGTTATCTAGTCCCGGGAAGGTTACAGAGGAGGGAAATATCATAAGAGCTCACCATTGTCAAAGTATTTGACAGTGGAGTTGCGTGAATAGCCAGGATTGAAGTTTGCCATCAGAGGGGCAATATACTGTGTAGCTGTCAGCATTCGATGAATGACATCGCCCATGAAAATGAAACCTGTCAAAAGAGCAATTGGGAGGAGCACATCATATTCAAAGTAAATAACTTCATCGGTGCTTTTTGAAAATGTTGGGTATAATCCATAGTTCCAGTGCCTTCTGTTTCCTACAAATCCCAGAGACAGTATATTGCAATGCATAAGAGAAGGGAGACACTGGTTTAATCTGTGGTCATTGGTCTCCATTTTTCATCCTAACCTCACAAGGATGTTGCGGAAACAGAACAAAGTGAGTTATACCAGCAATCTCCAAGTTGATGCCTTTTAGATACACTGGACTACAGCTCCCGCAATCCTCATCTCCAATCCATATTGCTGTGGGGAATAAGTGACTGATCCATTTAGATCCCCAATTTGATGTTTTCTAGTGGGTTGGATTATGGTTCTGCAATCAACCTCTGTTTTCTCTCCCAAGACAAGGAGCAGATAGTTGGTTATGTGAGATACCTCATCTGTTTTCACTGCTTCACAGTTAAAATAGTAAGAACTGTTTTTTGAGAATTAAATTTTAAATATATTTTTTGAGAATTAAAAGGACAATCAACCAAAGCTAATGGTTGACTGTTCTTTTAATTCTCAAAAAATCAGTTGATCATCACATCACTCGGTCTAAAGGTACGGCAGGATTATTAGTTCTCACAAGAGGAAAGTCACCCTAATCTTTAAAGCTAGGCTTGATCATTGTGGTGATTTCACACAAAATGAGAAAAAGTAGAAATTTAAGAAGTAGATTGCAGATGTCCCCAGAAGCAATTTAGCTGAATTATGGGAAATAAAGTATCAGACCAGAATAAAGCAGGCAGGTCAAGAATAAACTTTCAAAATAACTTATGTTGGTTTTAAAGTAATTGCAAGGGGGAGGCAAGGGTGACTTAGGCATCCTCCATCTACGAGGAATGCTGTATCACAGTCTCTTCATATAATAAATCCAAACTATTTTGCTGTCTGAGGTGAAGGATAAAATAGTGTCCCTCTCTCATTCTCCATTCAGAAGCTGATAAAAAGTTAATTTTACTTCAAGACATGCTTTTATGGCACCAATAAACAAGCTTAGGCTGTGCAAGGAAAGATGTGAAACACTGAGAATTCTGCTTTTCAGCATTTCACCAGTAGGCATCCAATACAAATTGCTGTGGTACAAACATGGCAAAATGTGCATCGCAATATCACAGTACTAACTTTTTCGTCCGTGTCTAGATTCAAATCACATGTATACATCACCACACTTTTGTCATTTCCCCCACCTCTTTGTTCTACCCATGGAAGCCTATCTTGGTGCTTAAGCATCTAGAACTTGTAGGCAGTTTCTTACCCTACCTCTTCTGGATATCACTGAAGGGCAGGACTTCTGGCATGATATTACTTGGTCAGTGACCTTTCTACTGTACCTTCATTCTTGTCTGCAATAAAAATTCTTAACTAGTTGAGCCATCTCTGCGGGAGTTCTGTCAGATTTATCAGATGAGCTGAACTAAGCTGAGAAATGTCTTGAAATCTGTGATTTTAATGCCAAGTTCTGGTTGGGGAGCCTGACAGCTTTTTGTCTATTACTCCCATCATTGCAGGAAGAAAACCACTGCTTAAGCATGACCAAAGTGGCTATTGACCAGATTATTCCAATATTAGAACCAAATGGCAGCTCAGATGAACAGATTAATCCAAGATCTGCACCAAAATTTTCAACAGTGGGACAGAATCAACTTTGATTCCTTGCTGTACCCATTGTTGTTTCCTAAACACCTCCTTTACCCAAACGCATTATTCCCAAGCCTATATACTGTGCAAGACCAGTCTCTGGTCTTTTTGGTTTTTGCTTCTTTAAGAATCATTGTTGGATGCCGATGCCAGATTGGAAGCACTTTTGCCTGCTTTGGATACAAATTTTGTAGGTACCCTCCATTTGGGGAACCAGACTGATATTGCTGCTGTTGTTACAACCTCAATCACATGATACCAAGTACTATCTGATTCCCAGCCAGATAAATATGATGGGAATTCAAATAGACATACTGTTTCTTTGCTCAGGATAAACTTTATATCTGTCTATACCCAGATGACATTGCCACCAACTGAACTCATATAGGCTTCATAATTAGCCTAACAATTGAAGGAGCTTATTCAAAACAATCCAGATTTGGACATATGTTCAAATTCTCTGGCTAGCTGAGAGGCAGTGGTGGGATTCAGCCAGTTTGCACCACTTCAGGAGAATTGGTTGTTAAGTTTCTGAGCAGTTTGGTGAACTGGTTGGTTGGAAGAAATCATTAGGGCAGAGAACCAGTTGTTAAATTATTTGAATCCCACCACTGCTGAGAGGTATTTCAAGGATTCAGTCCACCATGCAGTTGGGGGCTAATTATAACCTAGTCACATCACATTATGACAAGTCACATCACAGGGTGGTCTTGAGGATGAAATGGTGGGTGGGAAAGGACAGAGAATGATGGACATCACCTTGGCAGAAGAAGATTACATTGATGATGGCAAGGAAGAAGTGTAGGCTAAGGCAAACATGAATATAATTGGGTGATCAATTCACAAAATAACATTGGTGTCCCTTCTCCTTTTTCTCTCTATTTTAGGAAAGAGGGAATTAGCACCTGGGCCTGTTGCTCAGCAACAGTACAGTGGTTGGAGCAAACATGAACCTGTTCTTTCCAATCTCATGCCTCCACTAAATGACTTCAGTTAAAAGCCCATAGGCTCAGTCAGGTCAAGCAGCTGTAATCATTTGAAAACCACAGTCTAAACCATGCGTTCAACACTGCTTGCAAAATATGTACTGCAGCTAACTCTCCATATCCTGTAAGCTTTTTGCAAAAACAGCAACTCTTACGACCAGTGTATTAACCAAAGATGCTCACCTCCTGTTGCTATGGTGACCTGCCGCAAGTAATGGCCATAGAAAGGGAAATCAAAGGATAGGATGACTCTCTGTAGAAGAATAATGAGGAAAACAGCATTAGAGGTTAGAGTTGTCTTGGGTGAATTATTCCCATATTTCTTAATGCTTTAAAATGAACAGAAAATGTCAATTAGGTTTATATTCACAGGTCTTTATATTGGGTGACAGAGAGGAAGCCAAATTCGTACAAAGAAAAGAGGGTAATTTGATTACTTATACATAAATATCTTGGCATAATTTTATATTTTCATTATCTTTCATAGAGAAGATCACATGACCTAAAATGGACACCTAACATCAAAAATGTCATCAAAAAAGCACAACAAAGAATGTTCTTTCTGCGCCAACTCAGAAAGCTCAAACTGCCCAGGGAGCTGCTCATCCAGTTCTACAGTGGAATTATTGAGTCTGCCATCTGCATCTCTATAATTGTCTGGTTTGGTTCTGCAACCCAACAGGATAAACACAGACTTCAGTGGATAATTAGGACTGCAGAAAAAGAACAATTACTATCAACCTGCCTTCCATCAAGGACCTGTATACTGCACGAGTCAAAAAGAGGGCTGTGAAAATATTTACAGACCCCTCCCATAAACTGTTTCAACTCCTTCCCTCAAAATGACGCTATAGAGCACTGCACATCAGAACAAATAGACACAGGAACAGTTTTTTCCCAAATGCCATCACTCTGCTAAACAAATAATTCCCTCAATACTGTCCAACTATTTACAAAGGCTGCACTACTATTACTATTAACCTTCTCATCACTCCTTATCACCCATCCCCTCCCACTTGTGACTGTATGACTGTAACTTTTGTCGCTTGTATCCTTACAATTTATATTGACCATTTCCTAGTATGATTTGATTGCTTATTGTACCCTATGACTATCATTAAGTTTTGTACCTCACGACGAATGTATCTTTTCTTTTTATGTATACTGAGAGTATTTGCACCAAGACAAATTCCTTCTGTGTCCAATCACACTTGGCCAATAAAGAATTCTATCTATCTTCTATCAAGGTGTGATTCACTGCATGTGGCAGTGCACAGACTCCTCAATCTTCTGAAATTCTACCAGATTCCGTTACATATTTTTTTTCCTGTGGTGAAGCCTAGCATTTCCTTGAAGATGAAATAGTCAGCAGCACATATTTCTTGATACATATTTTTATAAAACCATAGAGTTGGTCACAGGTTATATAACAGAGCCAGCCTTTTTTCCAGGTTAGAATAGCCCCATGATGGCACGTGTGCCACAGGTGCCAACCCGAGCCTTCTCTGTTGGCACGCGAGCCGTCGCCCCAACTCAGATCTGCCACACATGCGCCTCCCACCAGCCAGCTAGTCTTCAGGCCTCTGCCATGCATGCAGAGTACGAGTCATGTGCATGTGTGTGGTGGCACAGGAAGCATGCGTGGGAGTTGCATATGCATGCACAGGGGGTCATGCATACATGTACAGGGGGTGGGGCACATATGCAGGGGCACACATTGCCATTTTGGGGATGCACGTGTTGTGGACTTTGGGCACTTGGTGCCAAAAAGGTTAGCCATCACTTGAATAGCCATTGCTACATATTCCCCTTATGAAAAAATATTGTATCCCTTTGAAATGTTCATGGGAAAAATTAGAGCAGAGCAATATACAGCCTTCTCTCTTCAAAATGGCTGCATTCAAAATTTCTGACTAGAAAATAGATCCCCTATTGACCTTTGGGCTAAGCCCAGAACTGACGATTTTATGTGCAAAATGTTATATATTTGTAAAATGGCATTTTTGCCAGCTAATAGCTTCAGCAACAGTGGATGAAATGAACTAATGGTGTCATCTGAGAGTGATGAGATAGAGAGGTTTGCTTCTCTGCCCTTTAATGAGGAACAGAAACACACACACAACACATGCACACGCATGCACACGGACATTGAGAGGGAGAGGAGGAGGAAAGAGAGAAATCAGTTAAAACCCAGTGATCATGTCCCAACACTTAGCTGGCTTTGGTTAATTTTGAAAAAAAACATAAGTAGAATTAGACCCAAAGAAAATTAATTAGGGAAAGCACTTGTAAATAAGTAAATAAATCTTGGAAGATGGCAATGGTATTTATTTCATTCATTATATGACTGAGCATCTCAAATATATGACTCTAGGTGGCTTCCGGAGAATAAAAAAACAAAAGAAAAATATAATAAAATCCAATGAGTAATGAACAGAGAAGCTAAGATAAAACCAATTGACACCCCTCCATCACAACCAAGATACAACTCAGTAATACTATATTGTAGTTACTATATTGACCGAATATGAACATGCCCTTAAAGATAAGTGTGACTCAAAACAGGCTTTACCTCAGGGGTGTCTGAAGAATGTGGACATAAAACAACACATGAAAATCGGGCAGAGCATCAATGACTTCATTGTGACCCATCTTAATTTTTTTTCAGACTCTCTTCAGACATCTCTGCTTTATTTTAAGCTTAATGAAGGAGAAAACATATATCTGTCTATCTGATGTTTATATGTCTCATTTTTGTTCCCAGTGTGGCAGTATTGGGATTTGTAGCACAGTGTATCTGGGCAAAAATTCAAAAGTAGAATAATTCTAAAGCATTTGGATCAGGGGTGGGATTCAAATTTTTTAACAACTGGTTCTGTGGGCATGGCTTAGTTGGTGGGTGTGGCTTGGTGGTCATGTGACTGGGTGGGTGTGGCTTGGTGGTCATGTTATTGGCTGGGCGTGGCCAACTCAATATCACTCACATCGAGGCATGCATCTCCTCATCTGGCCTCTCATGACTGTGGGGATGCTGCAACAGTCGTAAGCGTGAAAAATGGTCATAAGTCACTTTTTTCAGTACCTTTGTAACTTTGAATGAATCACTCCACACAAGCAAAGTACCAGCAAAGGAGGGGGAAAAAACTCCAGAGAAGTTCCTGAGACAGGAAGTCTAATCCTGCCAAGAATGCAATAAGGGTTAACGGAGAGGCAGTTTCTGTAAGCAACACCAGAATGTTTCCTTCCTGCCTTCCTTACAGGATTAGGCCAGTAATTTCTTCTAACAACTGGTTCTCTGAACTGCTTAGAATATTAACAACCGGTTCTAGCGAATAGATGCGAACTGATAGAATCCCATCCCTGATTTGGATACAAAAAGTTAAAATCACAATGTCAGTTTAAAATTAATTTCAAACCAACTGCTCAGTATTAATGCTATAGATATAGCAAGCTATATATATATATGTATTTTGCATTTTTGTTTTATTTGCAGCCCTCCTGGTGTTTAGGAAGTCTGTGATTAAGGTTTTTGAGCTCTGAAGCATCTCATTTTTACATAATTACATAATTTTATAAGAAACAACTGCCTTATGTTGTTGCAAAAGTTAAGATAAGATGATGTTTTGGTATTAATTTACTGGCCACATCTCCAGATCCCTGGAAATAATGCTGAAGAATAATAGTTACTAGGAAAACAATAACTACTTTTCCTCATACTAAATCTAACATTTAAAAGAACAGTCTTCTGACATTGAGAAGTTCAATAGATTTATTACAATCTGAATTTTTTAATGGATTTCATCCAAGAAGCGTAGATCATAATAAATTTGTGAGTATTTAACAAATTCCGTACCATAAGATTGACTGGATTCAAGTACATACATGGTTTATTTAATTCTTGAACAAAAGTCAACAATCAGTCAACAATATAATTGACTGGATTCACATAATGTCATAAATTATGGCTTACAAATCACAATGGTTGGCTAAACCAAAGTCAAACCACTTTATACCTTAATGAATGTGTAAATCAAATCCTTATGTTTGTTTTGCTCCCATAAACACACTACTACCTCTCCGGTTGCAATAAAGATGAGTGGATATCAGCCTCCTAATACTGACTTTTTTTACTTACTGGAAGTTGAAACTATTGCCAAGATGTTATAATTACACATAAAATTTATTCTTTGGTCAGCTCTTCTCTGATTTTTCCTTACTTTTTTATTGCTCTTACTATCCATTTTCTTGCTTGTCCTCTAGGCCTATTCTGTACAGCAGAGAGAGAAATGGGGCTTGAAAAACAAAATGTACTTACAGAGTTCGGGTACCAAAAGTTAAGAAAGTAAGTCAACATAATGCTGGTGGATTGGCAGAGTTAGGGAAAAAGATGGCTCACCGAAGCCTGTCTGTGTGTATTGGAGAGGATTCCATGGATTTTTACTTGGCTCCTGTTGGCTTCAGCCACCTCGACCCAAAGTTCCTTGGCTCGCATCTCTTCGGGACCATAAATTCGGGATAAATAGTAGCTGTGATTGTCTTCCTGCACAGAGGTAAAGAGATAGGGTTATTTTAAAGCAACTTTCCCTCAGCCAAGGCTACCTGAACACACTGGATTACAGCTGCACAATCCCTGAACAGTATGGCTACAATAAAAAGATAAAATGTGGTTTAACAGATTTAACAGATAATCAGAGTTGGAAGGGACCTTGTAGGTCATCTAGTCCAACCCCCCCGCCCAAGCAGGAAACCCTACACCATTTCTAACAGATGGCAGTCCAATCTCTTCTTGAAAGTCTCAAGAGATGGCACTCCCACAACTTCCGAGGGCAAGCTGTTCCATTGGTTGATTGTTCTCACTGTCAGAAAGTTTCTCCTTATTTCCAGGTTAAATCTCTCCTTGTTCAGTTTCCATCCATTATTCCTTGTCTGGCCTACAGGCACTTTAGAAAATAGCTTGACCTCTTCCTCCCTGTGGCAGCCCCTCAAATATTGGAAGACCGCTATCATGTCTCCCCTGATCCTTCTCTTTACTAAACTAGCCAAGCCCAGTTCCTGCAACCGTTCGTTGTATGTTTTAGCTTCCAGTCCCCTAATCATCCTGGTTGCTCTTCTCTGTACTTTTTCTCGAGTCTCAACATCTTTTTTATAATGTGGTGACCAAAACTGGATGCAGGTGTTGTTAAGTATGGAGAATAAGGGAGACCAGACACCTGACCAGTGACTTCAACTCTTTAATAAAGTGATAGACATAACAGAGCAATGCTATGGGCAGCAGTAACCCCTTTATAGGGTTAGCTGTTGCCTTATTAACCAATGAAAATGTGCAACAAGTTCAACTACTGACCAATAAGAACAGTCCCAAAAGTGGCCAATCAGGGACTGGTTCTGGCCCAATCCCAAGTTGTTGTATAAGGACCAATCAAGTGTGCAGGTTTTCAACCCCTAATTTGCATTTAGGTTATTCACTTTTATTGATTCACAACACCCCTCCCCCTTGGGTTCCGTTTGAGGGGAGCTGTGATAAAATCCTCAAGATAGGCAGGCCGTTTGGTCTGCCTGGATGATTTCCGAGGCTCCACCGGGTTTTGTCCAATGTCCAGTTCTGGTGGAGCGTTTGGATGACCATTGTTGAGTTCTATTTCACTGCACGGTGATTCCGTGCTGCATTCACTGTGGTTGTCTCTGCTACTGCGTGTTTCTTCGGGGTTTTGCAGTTCGTTTTCCCCCGTATTAAAGTTCCCTGAAGACATCAACTCCCTCCCCGCTTCACGTTCCGGTGCTTCGCTGGGCTGTAGGGCTCCCGTTGACCTGCTATTAGTTGTATCAAAGTCAATTTCCTCGATACTCCCTCCCCCTTGAGTTGGTGAACTGGGGAAGTCATGGCCACTGGGTGGTAATCTCGATCGGAGTTGGTCTATGTGGCGTTTCCACACCCTCCCATCGTCTGTTAGCAGACGGTAAGATCTAGGCCCGGTGAGGTGGGTAACGGTTGCGGGTATCCATAACGGGTCGCCGGAAAAGTTTTTGGCAAAGATTAAATCGCCTACCTTAAATTCCCGGCATTTGCTGCTGGAGCCGAAAGGTTTTTCTGGTGCAAAAGCGGGATGGAGCCGGTCAAGGTGCGATCGTATTTTCCGCCCCATAAGAAGTTCAGCGGGTGTTTTGTTGGTCACGCTGTGCTGCAATAAGAGGATTCGATTGATTTTCTCGTCGATGTTGCCAAATTCCATTTTATGCAGGGTCTTTTTCACAAATTGTACCATGCGTTCTGCACGTCCATTCGCCGCAGGGTGCACGGGCGAGGTCAGTGCATGGCGGATGCCCCGATCAGCCAGATATTGTTCAAAGGGCAATGCAGTGAACTGTGGGCCGTTGTCCGAGACCAACACGTCCGGAAACCCGTGCATGGCAAATAGTCTGTTTAATTTATTAATAACTGAGTCGGTTGTAGTTGTGTGCATTCGGTGAATCTCGAGCCAGTTAGAATAGGCGTCGACAGTAATCAGGAAAGTGTGACCTTTGGTAGGCCCCGCAAAGTCAATATGAATACGGGACCACGGTCCCCTCGGCGTTTCCCATTCGGTTGGGCTTGCTTTCGGTGGGGCGTTGCTGACGTCCTGGCAAAGTTGGCACGTAGCGACCCAGGCCTCGATTCTTTTGTCGATTCCCGGCCACCAAGCGTAGCTGCGTGCGAGTGATTTCATCCGCACAATGCCCGGATGTCCCTCATGCAATACCGCCAACACAGTCTGTTGCAATTTGCCAGGGATTACGACTTGATCGCCCCACAAGATACAGCCTTTTTGGGAAAACAGCTCGGTTTGGCGGGCTTTGAAGGGCGCCCATTCAGGTGCAATCCGGTCCGTCGGCCACCCCCGTTCAACCCAGCGTAGTATGTGTTGCAGAACTGGGTCACGTTTCGTTTCAAAAGCAATGTCTCTAGCCATCAAGGGTGGTGCCTGTAGAGCTTCAATCTGTAGTGTTGAGAGGGTCGGGGCTGGATCCACAACAGCGTCTGGGAGCGGTGTTCTGCTCAATGCATCGGCGTGGAGAATCGATTTCCCCGGGCGGTGTTGCAAGGTGTAGTTGTAGGCCGCCAGGAATTCAGACCAACGGGTCATATATACAGGGTTGGTTTATTACCCGCAATGATCCCCAGTAGCGGTTTATGATAAGTGATTATTGTAAACGCACGGCCATAAACATATTCATGAAATCTTTTAACTGCAGCAACAATAGCTAAAGCTTCTTTGTCCAGCTGACTATAATTTCGTTCAGCTTTAGCTAAGGTTCGCGAAAAAAACATGATGGGGGCCTCCGTTCCGTTAGGTAACACGTGGGCCAGAATTGCCC